CTGGTCAGGTCTGCTCTGCTCTGCTCTAAACAAGACTATAGACTATACAACGCTTTCAACTTTGTGAAGCAATAAATGACCTTTTTTGGCCAATTTTTTGCTAAAAATGGATCTAATACAATGGGTAAAAGTAAAAATAGAAAAGCCACGTCTTACCAAAATCAGATCGCCATATAAGTGTGTTAAAAATTCAATTTCGACATACGTATAACATAAGTTATATATATATAGTTCACATATATGTATATATCTAAAATAGTTTACTATTATTGTTATCTAAAAAAATTTAACTGTTTTTTTTTTTTTTTTTTTGATTTAAAGACATTTTATATAAGCATATTTTGAAAATTTTTTTTAATAATAAAAAATTTTTATTTTTTTTTTGGTTTTGCGTGATTATATAAATTTTTTAAAAAGGCATGCCCCTGAAACATACCCTAGAACATCACGTCTCAATTCTACTTAGTTATACCGAAATCAATATTTTTGTTGTAATAAACCTTTTGTCAAAATCACAAATAATGTCTACAACTAAACTTTCTAAACTTTTACCTGATCATGAAAAATATCATCATAATCCTATAATACATAAAACAAAAACTTACACTTTTTGGTATTCAATACAAAATAAAGGTGTTTTTCCTAAATCAGGTCTTAAATATACAAGGGCACCTAAACATTATGCTATTCCAGATAACTTTAGCATTATTACAACATGGGGAAAGTCACCAAACTTAAATACTATTAAAGGTCACATTAAATATATAGATAATCATCCAGTTTATTATATAAATTATGGGCCAAACTTCGAATTAGAGATAATATCAAATCATTCTTCTAGTGATGCAGCAACAAAAACTCAAAGGGTTAGTTATTTTTATTATACTATATTTATAAAATTAAATTTATAGTATATTAATAATTATAATTAGGCCATAAATGAATTCAAAGGAAAGTCAGAAAATAGTCGAATGTCAGGTCCTTTACTTTTTGGTCTTCATCTTAAACAAATTCAAAAAAATCAACCACAATCAAATTATATTAGACCTTTAAAACAGTTTAATGAACTAAGTATTTCTACTAAAAAGGCTCGTGCAAGAACTGTTGCAAAAAAGATTAAAAAAGATTTTAATCAAATTGCAAAAGAAAATTATCATCCAAATGATCAAGTTACACTTAAAGAATTATCTTATACAGTTGCAAATACACCTTTTCATGTAGAATTTGGATCTCAGAATATTATAGAAAAAAACAAACATGAGTCAGCAATAGTGCAAATAATTGATAAATACCAAATATCAAGAGATGGATATCGTGCTTTATCGGCTATACAACCTAATTTACCTCGTGATTATGCAGTTTCTGATCAACGTACAATTTTAACATCAAAAATAGCTAATTATATACCAATTGAAACATTTAATCTTTATAGTCAAGATAATCTTTTATTAAATGAAGAATTTCAATTAGTTAAAAAAGTTGCATGACGAAGTATTAAAGATATACTTTTATATTTGCATCCTTATTTAGTAGCTAACAAAATTCTTCATTCTTCAAAACCTGTTATTAATTTACGGATCTCTGGTGATGGCCATAATGTCAGGAAAAAAATTAATCATGTAATAATAACTCTTGCTATTTTGGATCAAAAAAAAGAATTATATTTACCTGATAATCACCATACTATAGTTATATATTCGGATATTGAGAAATATGAACTATTAAAAAGTGCAACACAGCCGCTTGTTGATGAATTAAATGAATTACAACAATCTGGATTTGTTGATAAAAATGGAATTAATTGGTCAATCAATTTATATTTTTCTTCCGATTGGAAGTTTTTAGCATTATGTTTAAGTATCAACATAGCAAATTCAATTAATTTTTGTCCCTGGTGTCAATGCAAAAAAACAGACTTAGGCAATTTAAAAAAACAATCATGGACAATTGAAAAAGATATGAATATAATTGCATCTAATTATTTAGCATATCCTAGTCACATTCGAGCTCCATTATTTCCAATGATTCCATTAAATCACTGGGTTCCAGATGAACTTCATATTATGCTTAGAATAACTGATCGATTATGGTCTTTGATTATTTCTGAATTAGAACAGAATGGAGAATATGATAATGATATGCATGAAACAATTTGTAATGAAATGAAAAAGTGCAAAGTTAAATTTGAATTCTGGAAAACAACAACTAAATAGGAATATACTTCACTCCTTGGGCCGGATAAACTTAAAGTGCTACGAAATTTCGATTTGTCTGCAATTTTACCAGCTAATCGGGCTAAAAAAATTAGACTTTTGTGGAACAAATTTGATCGATTATATTGCGCGATTAAAAATCCAGATATTGATTTTACCCAATTTGCTTTAGATGCTAAAGAATGGGAAGCATCCTTTCTTCAGCCTGATATTACTAATCCTAATAATCAAGATATTGTGGAAGAAGGTTTATATCAACCATCTGATATTACACCATATATCTACGTTTTAGTTTATCATGTTCCGGAATTTGTAAAAATATATAAAGAGTTTGGGCTAAGTTCATTCTCCTGTTTTGCAGTAGAGAAGAAGAACCACCAGCAATCAACTTTTTTTTTCGCCAGACACTTAAAGATGGGGGTAATCTGAATCAAAATACATGTGCAATCAAAGAAATCATGAATTATGAAAATCGTCGACTTCATTATATTTATGATAATTACTCTTTTAATAAACCAATAAAGATTCGAATAGTATAGTTTACTTTGAAGGTAATATTATAATATTTTATTATTAAAAAAATTATATTCTTCATATACATATATTTGAACAAAAATCTAATTGTATATAAAATTTTAATTCATGTAGGTTTTGATTAACCCAGAATGGTCGTCTCCCGTTTGTTCTTGTTTGATTGAACTGTCAATTTTTCTTGTAGTTGTTGATTGGGGCACTCACTTTCAGAATTATTGGTAGGAAAACTATTGAACGCTTTTATATATTAGATTCGAAATAACAAGCAACTAAAAATACCCGAAACCCTATAACATTAGAAAAGCAAGATTTATTAGTTTTTTTAGTGAGAATAAAAATATTGTTGCTGGAAATAGATATCATTTTTCTATGTACTATACGTACAGTACATCTTTTTTTTTTTGCAGATGTAACTTGCGATTTTGATATTTTTTTTTTTTATTTTTCAAAATAATGGCTTAAAAATATGCCATATGTCCTAATATAGACAGTGTATAGAACGGAGCTCAATCCTTAAAAAATAGTCGATCTGCATCCAAAAAGGTTAGATTTTTAAATTGCATATATATATATATCAAAATTTCATATGTTAGAGGTTGATTTGCGTATATTTTTTAGTGATAATAAGTAAATCATATATGGATAAAACTTGCCTTTATATAATTGTTATTTTATAGATCACACAAGATCTGCATTATTTTTTTTGTTTTTTTTACCGTCAATGGTAAAATTTAAAAAAAATTCAGTTTGTTGAATAAAATGATTCGAGCTACTATTCAACAAGGTAAATTTTTAAATTTTACCAGTGCGAATCCTTTACTAAACTTATCAATTAGAAACATAAGAGCAAAAATATTTTTTAATACCTGTTTTCTGAATTTTTTTTTTTTACCGGTCAGATGAGTTGATAACACTAGTCGAAATGAAGAAATCAGTGACAGTCCACTCCAGTTAAACCTATATTAATATAAATTCAAGAATATAGTTTCAACTAGTTTGAACTGATACTGAATTTTTAGTGTAATTACTGATCGTCACTTTAGATCTCTGGGAAGCACCTTCAATCGATATATTTATAATAAGCCACTCAAGTTTGTAGCATTTATATTCATTTTATATTGTGTGTAATAATTAATTCTTAAACACTTTACTTGATTGTTGAGATTAAAATTTATTAGAATTTGGGAGACCAATTGTCATTTTGATGAGCAAGCATTTATATATGGGGACGCCCACAGCATAAGCAGGGGATGGGACTATATGTTATATAGTCCCATCCCCTGCTTTTGCTATGTGCATGTATGCAAATTTTGATTTTTACTATTCTGAACTTAGAAAATAATACATAACTGTTAATTCTCACTTTCCTGAAACCTACCTTCTCGAAATACTATTTCCTCGACCACATAATTCCGATATCCCTTTTTCCCGACAAGACATATTTCTAACAGTATATTTTACAGATAGAAATTTTTTACTGAATTTTTTTTCCCAACCTGAATTCAAAAAGATAGATGTTTTCCCGAAAAGATATTTCTCAAAAAGAAATTACCCAACAAGATGTCTTCTCGATTGAACAAAATTGCATAAATCAGGCCAACTCGACATAAACCAGGCTAACTTTGTCAGTGAAATGGTTGTCAGTGAAATGGTTGTCAGTGAAATGGTTGTCGGCAAATTAGTTTATACCTTTTTCGGGTTATCAGGTGACCCAGAGTTTATAAAATAGCTGTAAATTCGGTAAAACATCCTTCGGTAAAAGAGCTTTCAGTAATATATTTTCAAAGAAATAGAATGTCAGAAAAATAGCATCTTTTTAATATTCAGTGAAATGGACATTGCAGATAAATGACTTATATAAAATTTATTATCAATTAAATGATATATCGGTAAAATGAGACTTTCGGAATTATGTCTTGTTAATAAAATAGGATGTCAGTATTATGACTTCGGCATAATGGTATTCAGTGAATTGATTTCGGGAAATTAACCTGTAACCCATACATAACACTGGTAAAATTTAACAATTGTCTTGTTGAATGGCATGATTCGAATGCCATTCAAACAGTCATTCTCACATGACTTTGTGAACATGTATGTCCGTGAAATCATGTGATAGTGTTGAATAGTAGTTCAAATGGCTGTTTGAATGGCATTCGAATCATGCCATTCAACAAGACAATTTTTTTAAATTTTACCAGTGTAATTCATGCAAATTATGATTAGTATTCTAATTGCCCAATAGTATAAGCATTTTACTTACATTATCGATCGTTAGGGTTTGTGTAAGAATGTAGTGTAAATGTATATTGGAGAGTCTATTGTAGTTATAATGCATTAAATAAGCATCATCAATTAGTAGTCTAGTAAAGCCATATATAAATAGGAATAGAGTAATTAATAAGCAAATATATCTTGTTAATAAAAAAATCATAACAACAAACATGCTAACCCTACTGCGCTACATCCTAGTCGCTTCAAGTGTTGGTTAAAGTGGATACTGGTATGGAGAAAAGTCTTGTCCAAAAAGTGCATAATGTTCCAATATGTCAAAAACAGAAGTTTTTAGAGGAACAAAACTTCGAGATTTTACTCGGCAAACTAAATTAAAATTACCGGATTTTCAGAAAACTCGTATGAAATTGTTTTTTGATATAGTAAGATATCGATCTAGTTCTATGGCTTGTATTAATTCCAATAGTTTGTCAATTTCTTTATCCAGAACTTTAGTAACAGTCTTATTCATGCTAGTTGCAGTATTGATAAAATAATTTATAATAAGGAAGATCATATAAGTATATGTATTCGAATTAAGATTTATGTATTTGATAACAAATACGTCTTCTTACGGATTTTAATTCTGAAACCCCTTATTATGCGAGATTATGTTGAACTTCTTTAAATGATAAATAGATAATTTGATAGTACAAAAATAAATCTGTTCCAGCCCGAAATAAGCAAACAAGATCCTAAATTATACTAAACTGTGCATAATTGTGTTAAAATATAACTGGTATGTACATACTTGCGATGTTGAATTATTTACTAAATTTAGCTAGCCACATAACATTATATAAAATCGATATAAAACCTTTTTTGTATAATTTTTTTACCGATATTATATTGTGTTGATAAGAATTGCTAGAGCTATGAATATATTTAGTCAAGCAAAAAATTTCGTCTCTAATATTGAGTGATAGGGCCTCTGACTATTTATAATATATAGTTTTCTTAGGTGCAGTCATAACCTTTAAAGGTAGGCCTAGGATCCAACTGTTATCTCCCTAAAATTTATTTTTTTCTATGTTTATAAACGATTTATAGAGGGTGTGATCGTTGCTATTGTTACAGAGTAAAGCCTTCTTAATTTACTCTATAACGACGACACGGCACAGGGAATCCTTTCGTAGGTATATG